ACTTCTGCATGCAGCATCTCTGACTTTTAAGTACGTAGGATAAGGAGTCTGTATGTTGTTAGCAAGAAAATTCAGCTATCCCTGTCTTGTGCATGTCAGGAGCTAGGCCCCTAAGGTAGCAGCATTGTGGTAAAGGCAAATGTGCCATTTACACCACTGGTGTTGTTGAAAGTCTGGGACGTAATCCTAAGCATATTTTTCTCAGCAACACAGTTAATTATCTCAGCAATGCAGTTCATATTGGAAGAGCATTAAAGGCAAAAATCTCATTGTGTTGAAAGAAAAAAAAGTTCCTGTTGATTTTTGTGAGGTTTGTTCTATAAATTTAAGTCTTAAGCAGAGTCCCTTAAGTTCCTTGTGACACTGTAGATGTTGCACAGGTAGACTTACAAATGTGGTTTCTTTGTTCTGCTCAGCTGTCTTTACAAAAAAACAGCAGAGGAGTGGTCAGCAGAGACCCTGTTAAAGCTTCCTGAGGTTGTACAGGTGTATTTTTGCTCTTTGCCCTTTTAAATTTTACAAGATATTTATACACAAAGTAGATACTAAGCCCTAAAAAATCTGTCCACAGCCACACAAAAGGACCTACATTGACCACTCTCATTAAATTCCTTGGGTGCAAGGATGGTTTGTGCACCTGAGAACAGGTTAAATTAGGCAGGTTACCACCATTCTCATGCTTGGAGTTTTTGCCAGATACTCAGCAAACATGCCTGAAATTCTGTGCTGTTGTAAATTACTCTGAGATAGTTTGAGTATTTTCTATTACTGAACACGTCCCTTGGCTTTGAAATAAATATTTAATGTGACAGATTTTGTGCAAAATGGAAAGCATTGAATTTGCACTTTGAACAGTTGCACGTATGTTAAGTAGAACTTGAAGCTGAAAAAACACAAGAGAGGGGATTAACAGTACAACTGAAGTTCCACAAACGTCTAAACTGCTTAGAGGTGTTCAGTTAATATTTTTAGGTACTTATTCATTATTGTTTTAGCTTGGTTGAGAGGTGTTTTTGAAGGGAGGAGAGCAGAGGGAGACAAGAGTGGAAGGGGAAGACTAAATTGACTTGCTTCAGACATTACTTTTAAATCATACACATCAGCATTTGGCATTATCACAGGCACATGAAGTTCTTTGGCTCCTTTAAGCTTTGAATCTAGCTATCAGTACTTAGATGCTTTGCTTATACTGTACTGGTTTAGGTGGTACAGGTTTTGATCTTTTAAACCATTTGAGAAACCATTTTCACCAGCTGTTAACTTTTTCAAGGACTTCACAATTTTGATATCTTTTGGTAAAACAGAAAAGCCAGTGTCTTACTGTGTCAGTACATAGGCAATTACTGTCAATTGCTTAGCAGTTTTTTTTAATCTTAAAGTATATTTTTATATACTCACACACATACAATACTATTTTGTGAGTGCAAAGTTCATGTCAAGAATACTAGATTAGTTTTATATTGGAGAATGGAATGTTGTCTTAGAGAAAAAAATAGGCCTAACATTTTTCCATGTGCTTTGAGTGGTGTAGAATTTTAATTTTTGTTTCAGAGCGAGGGACCATTTTTAATGAGATATAACACAGCAAGTAATGTGATGAGGAGTGGCTTTGTCATGGGTATCCTGCAAGGGAAAGCCAAGATTGGTTTTGTTTCCAGGTCTTCCAGGTGTAGTAAAAATGAAGGAGCTGCTAGTGCAGACTGGGAAAATGTCAACACAAATCCTGAGAAGACTAAAAAAATAGGAACTACTATCACTAAGGGATGTGACAAAAGTCTTGAGTTTGAAGAGGCAGAGCTGAATCCTACATGTGGACCTACCACAGGTATTTTGGCAGTGTTGGTTGTTCAGATTTAATGTTACAAGGCAGCTGGGTAAAGCAATCCTCAGAGATAGTCGTGAAGAAACCAAAGAATCCTCTGAGCCTGATGCTTGTTAGCACTGTTTCAAAGACAACAGTCCTGTGTGAAAGGACAAATATTTGTCTAACTGTATTTATCCATTTACTTTTAATGAGATTAAAACAGCTTGGTTAAAGTACGTGCTGAGAGTGGGTGACCTGGATTAATTCGATTCATTAACCGTTCCCTTTACCTGGCCCAGTAAAATGTCTCTCTCCCTTACAGTAAACAGCTTGTGTTTATTTCAACTTGCAAAAGAGAAGGCTTCGGGGTGACCTAATTGCAGCCTTCCAGTACCTGAAGGAATCTTACAGGAAAGATGGGGCAATACTATTTATGTAGTGACGGTGCAGGAGGGAATGGTATCAAGGTGACAGAGGGCATGTTTTAGATTAGATATTAAGAAAAATTCCATACTGTGAGGGTGAAGAGGAGCTGAAACAGGTTGCCCAGGGAAGTTGCGGATGTCTCATCTCTGTAAGCGGTAAAGGCTAGGCTGGATGGGGCTTTGAGCGAGCTGCTCTAGTCGAAGGCGTCCCTGTCCAGGGCAGGCTGGGTTGAAACTGGATGATCTTCAAGGTCCTCTTCCGACCCAAACCGTTCTGTGACTCTACGATTTTCTGCGCGTGTAAAATCCGCGCGGCACGGGCGGGCGGCGGACGCCCTACCGCGGCGGGGCTGCGGGGAGGGCCGCGCCCCGCCGGGCGGAGCTCGGGGCCGCGCCGCGCCCCTTCCGGCGGCCGCTGCCGGAACCGCGGCGGGAGGGGCGGGCGGGCCGGGACACCGCCTCGCCTGCGCTGCCGCTCCCCCCGCCCCGTCCCGTCCCCTCATGGCGCTGCAGCGGACGGGCGCCGGCCCCTCCCGCCGCCCGCTCCGGCCTCCCCCGCCCCCGTCTCGTCTTGGCTCGCCGCTCCCGGCGGGGCTGTGAGCGGACCCGAGCGCAGGTAGCGGCGGGAGAGGCGGGGAGGGGGCCCGGCCGGGGGAGGCGGGGCTGCCTAGCGGAGCTCGGCGCAGGGCCCTCCGCGCCGGGCGCTGCCGTGAGGAGCGAGCGGGGCGCGGGCCGGCCTTGAGTCCGGCTGTACGAGCCCCAGGGTGGTCTGCCCGCGGTGGGAAAGGTGCGCTTTGCTCTGAGAGGCCGAGGTTTAAAGCCCTGAATCGCGCTGTTTGCGGGGCTCTCCCGCCGGGCAGAGGCGTGCAGGTGCACTGTGCTGGGTCTGCCCGTGCCGGAGCCGCTGTGCCCCGCTCTGGCGTCTGCCTGTGCTTAACCACGGACCTCAGCGGGCTCATCTTCGGTTTGGTCCAGCCTGCTTCCAGAGCACCTGCAGCAGAACTTCAGAGCCCTGGTGGATCATTTTGACGTGAAAAAAGTAACCATAGCTTTGCATTGTAGTTCATTGTAGTCTTAAGCTGACCAGGGGAGGTTTAGTTTGGACATTAAAAGGAATTTCTTCATAGGCAGGGTGATGAGATGTTGGAATGGGGTGACCAGGGAAGTACCTGGTGGAGACACTGTCCTCGGAGCTGTTTCAGAAAAGACTGGACATGGCATTCAGTGCCAAGGTCTATTGACATAGTGGTGGCTGGCTCATAGGTGTGACTCCATCTCGCATGTCTTTTCCTGCCTAGTTGATTCTGTGATTCAGAGTAAAGATTTTTGCTCATTCATAAATACTTTGTGAAGATTTTGCCTGGATCTAACTCCTTTGTCCCTGTTTTTTTTTTCCCCAATCTTTTTCGAACAGTCAACTTTCTCTATTTCATTACAATAGCTTTAACATTGTTTGTATTGAAAACGTGATAAATGTAAGTCAGTGTGGTTCTATCTTAATGCCTTTGATGTGCCTTGTTGTGTACAATTAGGACTTTTTCACAGCTTCATCGGCAGAAAATTATTCCATAAGGTTTTGTTGGTATCACTGGATTTAGAATTCAGTGTCACACTAGTTCTGCTTTTGTTAAAGGACTTAATTCTGATGATAAAATTCTGGTGACAAGAAAGCATGTTATAACAGGTTATCAGTCATGTCAAAAGAGTAGCTGTGACTAATGTATAGATTGGACTTCAGCTTCCTGAGTTATCTTAAATTTGAACCTGCCCATATTAAATACCAAAGGTAGAACTTCAGTGACCCTATGCTGGTTATTCCTCCCACAAGAGTGGAACTCATGTGCCAGGTACAACAAAGATGAGGCAAGTCTTATCTTGAGTCTATTTTGATAGCTTTCCGTGAAAACAGTCAATGCAGTATCAGTTATAAAGCACTGCCTGTAGTTTGTATTCAGTTAATGAATAACACTGTTACAGTGAAGATACTTTCTAGCTTTATGTGAAAGTGCTTTAATTAAAGGTCAGGTTTTTTATAGAACAACTACAAGCAGCATGTGCAAAGAATGGGTTTTTGATGTGGAATTTTTTTGTTTCCTTCTGGGTTCATAAGATGAAGTGCTTGTTGCTTTTGCTTTATAAATAGAAATCTGCTCTAAAGTATTAATTTTCCCTATAGTTTATGTAAACCTTTTAAAATAGACAACTTTAGGATAGTTAAGGTATGGTTTGCTTTCTGAGTTATATATATATGCATATATATAATGTTATGTATCACATGTATGTGCATATATATAACATAAATATGATTTTAGCTTGCCTGTGTATAATATGTAAATAATTATTTGTATAAATTTAGGCAGTCTTTAATTTGACAGAGCTGGAAGACTGTATCCTGTATTGGGGCAAATGTGCAGTACAAAATTGAAGGTATTTTTTCCTAAACAGTGTGTACAGAATCCGTAGGTACTGCGTGCATCCGTCTTGGTTTTTTAAAGGTGCACTAAGGTTTGAACTCGTTTATCCTAACACTCTGTTGTGTCTATGCATCAATATTCTCTCTATACGTATGTTTAAAATACACGCTTGTGAGTGGATGAAATATGACTGAGGAAGGCTTGGATTTAATAATTAGGTATATCTGGGGGGTTTTGGTAACCTTCTAAGAACATTTCTGTGTTCATATTCCCCACTGCCCCAGCATTCTGCGTATCCAAAGGAGGGCTGCAAAGACAGTGAAGGGGGTAGAGGGGAAGCTGTATGAGCCACTTGGTCTGTTCAGCCTGAAGAAGAGGAGGCTGAGGGGAGACCTCATCAGGATCTACAGCTTCCTAATTGTGGGAAGCAGAGTGGTAGGCACTGGTCTCTTCCCTCTGGTGACCAGTGACGGGACCCAAGGAAATGGCCTGAAGCTGTGTCAGGGAAGGTTTGGGTTGGATTTGAGGAAAAGGTTCCGAACCCAGAGGGTGGCTGGTACTGGAACAGCTCCCCAGGGCAGTGGTCACAGTGCCAGCCTGCCAGAGTTTAAACTTCTGTGTGTTCAGGCACATGGTAGGTTTCTTGGGGCTGTCCTGTGCAGGGCCAGGAGCTGGACTTGATGATCCTTGTGGGTTCCTTCCAACTCAGCATATTCTGTGATTCTATATAAACATTATCTTAAAATTCACCATATCAAAGCAAATAATTAAAACTTGATACTAGTTATTTTGCAATAAAAATGCCTTAGCACGTTAGTTACAGAATGAAGCTAGGAAAGTGTTTAGTTCAACATTAATATGGTACCTTCTAAAGAATAACTTACATCACAGGTTAGATTCTTTGATTTGTGAAGTGAAAAGCAAAGGGATGAAATAACTACAGCTTCAGGCAAGATGTGTCTAAGGAAGATCAAATCTAAAATCACACTGATTTGTTGTACAAGTGTTTCTAAAACAAAAATCCTCTTCCTTTTTGCAGCATAGATGGACATTGTAAAGTCTTGTGTGTCATGCATGAAAATTAAATAGTCTTGAAATAATGGACATAATTTTTTGCCAAATTCCTAACATGCCAATTAATGCTATTTTTGACTTCTGTTTTAGAAACCTAACTTGGAAATACTTAAGAAGTGAATGCCTCTGGATTTTGGAGTAAGATTGGTATGTATTATGAGCCTTCTAGAGGCTCATCACTGAATAACTGGATTTCTGTTTTTTTAGGGAATATTTGTTTCACGTAGTTTTATGTTTGTGGAAAGGAAGAAGGGAACACATAATAACCAACATGACACATAATAGTCAGTGTGTATTGGTTAAAGCAACTTGTTGATTCAACCTCCTTTTCTTCCCTGACAAGCTTTATGGCTAGGAGGGCATTAAAGGTGCTTAATTCCAATGTTAAAAACATAAAACTTAAGCAGAATTGACAGTAAAATACCAGAGAACAGTTCAAAAGATGCAGAATGGCTGTACCTAGAGTATTATTGTCTTGTCAAAGCAGGCTTTTGTTCAAAAATCTGTCATGTCTGAATCTTTGGCTGTTTAATGTTATTGATCTGGCTCAAAAAACAAAGAAATAGTCAATACCATTGGGCAGGGAAGGATTTCCAGTATGTAACCTTGGTTAAATGTTTTCAGGAAACATTTCTAAAAAAAGAGGGTTTTTTAATAGGAATAAATGTAAGGTATTACACCCAGGCAGGAGTAATTTGCTATGTAAGTGCAGGAGGTTATACTAATAGAGAAGTTGAAAATGAATCAACAGTAGGTGACTGCAGAAAAAGGGCTATAAACCCCACTTAGTTTGGATGTTTAAAAATAAATACAGTCTACCATTTATTGCAGAAGTGATAATAACTCAAGCTACAATACTATATACAGCTTTTGAAATTGCACTTAAAAAAAACTTTTGGAAAAGGACTCAGAAGGTGGCACAGCAGGAGGCACCTGGAGGGTAATTCTGATATGTGGATTTGAAGATAAAGGGACTTGTATCTTTTTTTCAGCAGTGGAATTTGGTAGTAAAAGTAAAGATGATCAAATAATGAGAGTTGCTAATGGCATCAAAGCATGGCTGCCAGATTTTGAAGTTTCCTTTGCAAGTGGGAGAAGCTTGGCTGAATTATGTATAATGAGGAGCAGCAGTGAATTATGTAGTACATGGCAAAGGGTTGAAGTAAATGACCTTTTAAGGTCATTTTTTTTTTTTTGCTTAATGGCATCGTCCTAATCATAGTTGAAAAGAGCAGGTTTAAAAAAGATTCTTGAATTTAAATAATGCAGTGTATATTTAGGTTATTTCTTGTAAGTCTTTTAAGACTGTCTACTTTACTCCAGGGGGCTCGTGGCCAAGTAAGCAAAGTTGGAACAATGCACCATGTCTGCCTTTCCAAGCTCTAATTATTGCTTACATATAATGTACAGCTTGTGGAAGTGATACTGATTTTCTTTGGCTGATAACTCCCATATTCTTACTTATGCTTATCTGCTTTTAAATGTAAAATATTACTTCTCTCATTAAACCACTTTTAATGTTTCCGAATATTTAGAGAGGTCAGTTGCTGCAATTAATGTAACATCTTTGTAGCACTGTGTTTGTGCTGCTTTTGAGAGAAAATGACTTCTGAGCAAAGAGGCAAAGAAGTGTTATCCTGTGTTTTAGATCAGAGAGTCTGTATCTTGCTAGCATTTGTGATGTATTTGGTTACATCTTGAAAATAAGCAAAAAAAACTTTGTGGCTAATCTGGATTTGCTTATCTCCCACAGGTTTTTTTTCACATTCTGAGTTTCTCCATCTCTCCCTCTCTGATAACCTTCAAACCCAGTTCCCTGTGTGGTCTGTCATTGCACTGTTGCACACTGGGAGTTATGACTCATGACACCAGCAGATCCACAGGAAATTAATTTAATGAATGGCTCTTGGAGGCATTGTAGATGTTGTAGCTTCTGTGAGTAGGAGAGTCTCAGCCCTTCTTTATTTCTCTGAAATCAGAGGAGGAAGCTAGTACTCCTCCATGACACTGCTGGTCCTGAGTGGATGAAGTGTTCTATGTGTTAAAATCAGCTGTGAACTTGATTAGAGAACCTTTGCAGAACTACAAGACTGCCAGCTTTATTAACTCCTACATTTTCTGGCTTTTCTGTTTATAACGTAGTAGTGGCCCTGGTTGCTGGAATGTAACAGCTTTGGCATGTCCCAAGGCAGAAAATGAGAGGCATTATTTATTCCAGAAACTGCTCATTTCATGGCATTTTCTCATGCTCGTAGATAATTTTTCTTGATTATGTTTATAAGCATGCATTAGTTCTTCTTCTAGTAAGTCTCAGGGTTAGAATTAAAGCCCTGATTTCCTAAAGTGTAAAACTTCCAGTGCCTGATACTGGTTTGACCTTCCACGTCAGTTCTGCACATGCAAATTATATCTGCTGCGTACAGAGGCAACCAGATCTCTTCAGAGGGAAGCTGGGTCCACCATGACTGTGTGACATGTGTCTACAACTGTAGACATCTGAATAAAACTTAGGAGGAAATAAGACAGTCCAGCCAAAGCAGGAATGGGACTGGCTATGTCTATGAGGACAAATAAATGTGATGGGAAGAGCTAGCAGCAATTTATCTGAATTGATGTAATTTAAGTGGTTGCGAATTGAGTCATTTACAAGGTTAACAAAATGGGTGACAGGGCACTTCAGTGTATTTGAGACATGAGGGAAAATAAAAATACTAGTTTTGAAGTATAGCATCCTTTTCAAGTGTAAATTCATAAAATTACCTGTGAGCACACAAGTTTCTTCATTCTTCTGCAATCAGATTCTTCCTCTGCTGCAAAGAAAAGCAGCCTGCGCTCCTTCCTTGTTTCTGGAATGCAGTGGGTGGAAGGCGTCAGGATGGTACTAACTGATGCTCTTTTCCTCTGTCAGTGTAGGTGAAGGTATGCAAGCCAGGGAGAGAAGAAAAGGAAAAAAATTGGTTTTGCCAATATGGAGAGTTCTCTTTTATAAAAAGCTACCCAAGTAAAAATAATCCCATTAGTAATATACCTAAAGTAGCAACTGTTGAAAAAAAACAGTAAAGCATAAAACTTAGCAAAACAGCCCCTCCCCCAGGTGATGCTATACCACTGTCACATTTTGCACCAGCTGGAACTGGAAGAACATTCTTAGCTCGATTACCTGAACAGAGTGCCTTACACGTGCTAGAACAGATGGTGGAGAGAACAGTCACAAAAGTCGTACGTCTTTTCCTTGCATTGAAAACTTCAAGGGGCTGAAACTCTTGTTTGAATTTAAAACCAGGATAATGTTTTATGTAGTTGGTGAGATGGGTTTGGTCTGTCTCACACACTGATGGTTTGACTTTCTTAGTTTCGTTTGTTAGGTGGTTTTGTGTCATGCAAGAATCTAGTTTATTTTTAAAAGTTTATAGAAAGTGAAAGCACTCTCTTCTAGATAGTTTACATAGTTTCTCCTACAAAATAAGATTTAAAAATTACTGTGCAAGGATTAAGGGAAATGGATTTGAGAATTTTGAACTGTGGCTCATGCAGTATTTTGAGTAGTGCTATGTTGAGTGCTTATTGTTTTTCTCTACTTTTTCACAGCCTAACTGGGTGTGAGTAAGAGGATCTGTGCTCAGTTGTAATGCTGACCTACCAGTAGCTCTCTGTTAGGTTTTCCTAGAGGTGTAGCAAATTAATGAAAGTTGAAAGCATAAAAGTACAGGGAAAAGTAATATTGAAAGGTGCTTCACACAAGTATGGGAAACTGTAAAATAATTTAACAAAGGACTTATTTCTTGCCAGATCTTCCTGTTAAAGAGTAATTGCATACGCATGCATGTGAGGTTTGTTTGTATTATAGAAATGGCTATGTGATTAAACAGCCTTCTAATACTCTCATTTTTTTAGGGAGCTTATATGGAAGAAATGCTGCGACTGTTCTCAAACTCTCTTACAGACTGATTTCAATGTAAGTAATTTTTTGATCAGTATCATGGTGTGCCAGACACAGACTTGCATGCTCAGTGAAAAGAGAAATAAATGACATATTTGTAAAATTTCCCTAAAGCTTCTCAAAGAATTTTTGTTTGTTTGGATTTCAGTTTTTATATGCCATTTTTTTTTTTTTTTTTTTTTGGTGTTCAGACTTAGTTATTTTTTTTTTTTTTTTTTTTTCACATGCTTTAGAGTGCCTTTTTTTTTTTTTTTTTTTTTNTTTTTTTGATAACCACTCTTTGCAGAGCCACTTGCAGGAGTCATGTGAGCTGTTGAGGATTTTCCTATGCAGCACCTTTTTCTACCAGCTTAATTCTAATGTGTTTATTTTGCTCATGTTTCAGTGTTGCATCATTTTTTGTTGAGTATCAGAAGTTGCGCTCCTCATTGATCAATGTGACAGTGTTCAGTGGTTTACGAGATGAGCCAAACTCGTGGGAAGTATGACTTCTGTATTGGTCTGGTGTTGGCTATGAGTTCCAGCATTTTCATTGGAGGAAGTTTCATCCTGAAAAAGAAGGGTCTCCTCCGGTTAGCCAGGAAAGGCTCCATGAGAGCAGGTAAATACATACATCTTTTAATACATTGCTGATGTTTAGGTTTTGCTGTTTAACAGAAGATTACTTCTGTTCATTAAACTAATGATCTTGTTTTGACTTTTTTTGTTTTTTGTTACATGTATATGAAATCTGAAACATGGAGCTGCTGTGTTTTTTCTCTGGTGTCAGATACCCTTAACTGTGTGTGTGGCACATGCTATTTAATGCATATGTAATGCCCTCTGGGGACACTTGTCAAAGGATTCCTTTGTATGTCAGTTAAGTCTAAATTGTACTTGCAAATTGCAAGCAGCACTCTTAACTATGTGCTCCTGAATGAGTGAATTTAAGAGAGTTTTAACCATGTTTGGGTGTCAGGAGATTGTTTGAGAAAACTAAAAATCATGTGTAGGAACTGAGTGTGCTGAGTAGAGCACCTCAAGGGTTCCTACTGGAAGCAATGCTTTTAAAAATCCTCATCAGTGATACATACAGACAGTGGCACTGACTGAGTGTGCTGGCAGTGGGGTTGTGGACCACAGCGAGCCGAGGGGGGCACTTGGTGCTCTAGAGCAAAGGAAGTGGCATCCAGAGGGTCCTGGATGGCCTTGGGGAGTGGGTGTGTGCAAACCTCATGAGGTTCAACAAGAACCAGAGCAAGGTGCTGCACCTGGGTCAGGGCAGCCTCCGATATCAATACAAGGCTGGGGGATGAACAGATGGAGGGCAGCCCTGCCCAGAAGGGCTTGGAGATAGATACTGGTACATGAGAGGCTGGACATGACCCAACAATGTGCACTCACAGCCCAAAAAGCCACGTGTCCATATGAAGTGTGACCAGCAGGGCAAGGGAGAGGATTCTGTCCCTCTGCTCTGGTGAGACCCTACCTGCAGTGCTGCATCCAGCTCCAGGATCCCCAGTGTGGGAAGGACATGGACCTGTTAGAGCAAGTCCAGAGAAGGGCCATGAAAATGATCAAAGGGACAGAACACTTCTGAGGATAGGCTGACAGAGTTGGGATTGTTAAACTTAGAGAAGAAAAGGGTCTTGGGAGACCTTATAGCACCTTCCAGTACCTAAAGAGGCTTATAAAAAAAGAGATGAGACTTAGTTTTGGGTTTGGTTTGGTTTTGACCAGGGCCTGTATTGACAGGACAAAGGGCAATGGTTTTAAATTGAAAGAAGATAAATTTAGGTAGGATAGTTACAGCATCCTCAGATGATTCAGAAGATTGACTCTGACTATTTTTATTCAGTACCTGTCATCTTTGCTTCTAAAAGATGGTTGATCTTAAGATACATAATTCATGCACCCTGGATTGGAATCAGAAAATGTGCTTGCACATGTAATCAACCACATCCAAACCATGCACAATTTCTGCAGAGCATCAGTCTTAGTAAGAGACACATAACTTGGCTTTTCATGTAATTTCAGTGATTTGAAAGAACTGTTTCTCAGGGTAATGCAGATATGATCAAAACTGCCATTTCTAACACAAAAGAAGTAAAATAACTGGTTGTAGGAGGCACAGGCACATCAGAAACTGAAGATGCTTTGATTTCAACCCTTTTACCTAGAGAGCCTAGGTATCAAATGCTGCTCATGTTTTTAAGGGCATGGGTTGTAAAAATTATTTTATGTCATGGCAGTGTTGTAAGTGATAGGGTGTCAATGCTTTTAGTGGAATAGCCAACATTCTTTCAATTTTAGGTCAAGGTGGTCATGCATACCTTAAGGAATGGCTGTGGTGGGCTGGACTTCTTTCAAGTAAGTATCAAAAATTATATCAAAAATTATTCATCTAAGTATTAAAATTGCAATCTGCATTATATAATTTTAATAAATAACTATGCCACAGATGGCAGCATGGTTATAAAAAGGGAACCAGATTACATTACTACAATACATGGTAGTATTGTATTACTATCACCTGGTGATTTGATGGATGAATTTCAGATTTTAATATAACTTCTCTCACACCAGAAGCTCTTCCTTTAATATAACTGCCCTCTTTGTGCAGTGGAACTAGGCAGACATTGAGTTTTGTATGCCTTTACTACCCATATGCATTTTGGTTTTTGTCTTAGCAGAGAAGTGCTTATATATATATAGGATTTCTTAAAGGGAAACATATTTTGGGATTATACCCATTTTCTTAGTCTTTGTCATTGCTTGAACTCTCAAGTTACTGTCTGTATTTAGGTAATTATGGCTTACTGTATGTGCTGTGCTATATCCTGCTATTTCAGATTTCTCCATGCAGAACTTCATGAGTCAAGCTGGCAGGCTGGGGAACTACAGCACAGACACTAAAATAAAACACCTCCTGATTTGGTAGAATTAATTCTAATACCTGTTGTATGTAGTTCACAGTCTGCTTTTAAAACTTAATAGTGGGGATGAGGGGCAGGGGTGGGTCCTGCTAGTACTTTTAGCTGAATGCTGTCATTAGAATTTTGCATTGTTCCCTTGCTGCATGTTTGTGTCTACATGAACACTGTAGACACTTACTTGCCCTGGATCAGAGGTTTCTTGCAGGAGACAACCTAACTCCTGGGTTTTAATTGCTGTTCCTCTGCAGTGGGAGCTGGCGAAGTAGCGAACTTTGCTGCCTATGCTTTTGCACCAGCTACGTTAGTGACTCCTCTAGGGGCTCTCAGTGTTCTTGTAAGGTAAGAAACACTAACAGAAAGCAGTGTGACTTGAGGCAGAAAATTATTTCTTTAGAAATATGTCACTGAACTATGCTGCAATAGATGCACTCTTCACAATGGAGTGCTTATAAACATCAGGAATAACTTTTAAGTTTCAAAATATGTAGTGGTTATGTTATAAAAGGGTTCTAGCAATGCGTCTACATGTCCATCTCTGGAAAAAGCCATTGTCTTCTGCATTTCAAAAACATGGTGATCCCAGCAGAGCAGTATTTTCATTCCTAAGTAAAGATTTTTGTCATTCGAAAACTATTTTTGTAAGTTCTTAGATACAGCATTTTTTTGGCAGGCATCATAAAAAAGGGGTTCTAGGCAGAGATGCCAGATATTAACAGGTAGTTCTGCCCACAGCAAGTATCTCAAGATAGAAAACAGCTATTTTTAAGCTCAAGATTGTGTTTGCAAGTGACTTGTACAGTCAAAACAATCTAACTTGATGAGCAAATGAATATTACTAATCCCATGTTTGTTGATGCCTTTATTTTTAGTGCCATTCTGTCATCCTTCTTTTTAAATGAAAAGCTCAATTTACATGGAAAAATAGGATGTTTGTTAAGTATACTGGGATCAACTGTGATGGTAATTCATGCTCCACAAGAGGAAGAAGTAGAAACTTTGGATGAAATGTCCCACAAACTAGGTGATCCAGGTAAGAAAAATGCTGGTTTGAGCTGTACACAGCTCATCATTTCTTCATTTTATAGTTTCATTATATTCAAGTTCCAGGAAGATGGCCTGTGTCTCCTTCATGTAGACATGTCCAAAAGAAGTAGAGATTTGAATTCTGTAGCATAATTCTGTAGGGAACTTTGCATGATGGCGAGATGAACTTGTCTAGCCTTGAATAAAGTGCCTTGATGGCAACCACTGAGGTGGTGGTTTAAACAAATGCAGCAGCACAGGTGGATAAACAAAACTTCTATAAATTTTGATTGAAGTGTGTCACCTCTAAGCCCAACTTTGACCTGTCCTTAAAATGAAAAGGTAGGTGTTGTGGTGTCTGCTGAGAATTAAAGTCCTATAGATGAGCTGCTACACCCATGTGAAAGATGAGGCACACACAAATGCACGTCTGCAAAATACAATTTATACAAAGGCAATTCTCATCTTAAACATGAGGAAATAGCCAGCATAGAGATTAAAAAGTTGTTCTTAAGAAATGACCTGATTATTGGAAACTTGCTGATGAATACAGCCACCTGCCAAAACATATCTCCTAAAAAAGACTCAATTCACATTCAGGCCTGTGTCTAGTGGCATCTACACTTCAGTGAGACTGGGTGTAAGGCAGTTTAGTAATCTAATCCTGTAGTAGTCTTGCCAGTAGACTGGTAAAGGTAATACAGCATGCCAGAGCTACAACCTTTGTTTTGGCTTGCTCACTCTGAAATCATCTAAACCGTGATGTTGGAGGAATAATGAGAAACATCCTGAACTCTTCTGTTTAAGCTGAGTCGGTCCCATTGTTAATGAGTGTTTTCCCTGCACCCCTAAGATAAATACCCCTGCTTCTGATAGATAGAGTCCATAAGTAACAACTGTGTCTATAAATAACAAGATTTTTTTTTTTCCTCCAACCACAGGTTTTGTGGTGTTCGCAACACTCGTTGTCATTGTGTCTTTAATTCTAATATGTGTGGTGGGACCTCGCCATGGACAGACCAACATTCTCGTGTACATAACAATTTGCTCTGTAATTGGAGCCTTATCAGTCTCCTGTGTCAAAGGTCTGGGCATTGCTATAAAGGAACTTTTTGCAGGAAAACCAGTGCTGAAGCATCCATTGTCTTGGATTCTGCTGCTAAGCCTTACTGTCTGTGTGAGCACGCAGATCAACTATTTAAACAGGGCTTTGGATATATTCAACACTTCAATAGTGACTCCAATATATTATGTAATCTTCACAACATCTGTTTTAACTTGTTCTGCCATCCTTTTCAAGGAATGGCAACACATGGGGGCTGATGACATTATTGGCACCTTCAGTGGCTTCCTGACTATTATTGTGGGGATCTTTTTATTGCATGCCTTCAAAGATGTTAACTTCACCCTAGCAAACCTGCCCCTCTCTCTGCGGAAGGATGATAGAGCAGCAAATGGCACTTTGCTGAGCACATATGACAGCTTTAATGATGATGAAGAAAGTTCTTCCTGCCTAGGTGAAATGCAATCCACTGAGAGTCTCTCAGCCAGAAGAAATGGAAGCCTGTCAGCCTTCTGAAAATATCTACGTGTTACTTAAGAAAAGAACAATTCTGTAACCCTGGAATTTTTTTTTCCCTGCTGTGAAATGTCTGAGCTTGTCTGGAAAGTCATGTACTTTTTAACAGTATGTGTAGACAATCGTTGATTTTTGAGTTTGATTAGTTTGGATAAAGAACACTGAAATGTTTTTTATTTGCCTTACTTTTACTTTAAAAAGTACTAAAATGACCTCAGACCACAATTGGTTTTGTTGCTTAAGTTATGTGTAAATACTTTCATTTCTTTCTTCTGTTTTAAAGATGTATTGCACTAATTACAATTTTATCAAAAATAAATGGCTTTATTTCTGCATTGGTGGTAAAAAGGTTGCAGCAAACCTGAATCCTTGTGCCCTGACTGACCACAGAGTGACTGTAACCGTATTGAAACAGGAGCTGCAGCAACTACTCCTGTCCTAGTTTGTAGAAGAAAAAAGGGAAGGCTACCAAGCACAACTGATCCTTTGAAAATATTGGTTAGGTAAAGCTGCATGCAAAACTTGCTGGATTTGCATAAAAAAAACCCCAATTTTACCAAATCAGAGTAACTGGCCAGCAGAAACAGGAAGGCAGGAGCTTGTGTTCTGAGTGGACAGGTGAGATGGTAGCTCCTGCCATGACAATTTATGCAGAAGGAAGGCTCTGAATCAGTACTCATAGCCAAAGAAGCTGCTCCTTCTTCTTCTGTAACAGATGTCAGGTCTGTCTGTGCTGCACCATGCTGCCCTGGCTCTGCAGACCTGTTCTTGTTCCTGATGTTACAGCTTGAACTCACAGAATTGCTGTTTTGTTTGCTGCAACACTGAGATTTTCAAAAAGAGCCAAAAAAAAAAAAAAGAAACATTAATGATATTGCTTTAAAAAAAGGGGGGAGGGGAGGAGTGAGGCAGGTAGATGGTAATTCACTTTAGTAAAGGCAGAAAATAAAAATAAGGGAAGAACATTTTATAAGAACTTTCTACCATGCATGTGAAAAATGGAAATATTTGTCACAGAGACTAATAGTTACTGTTCCATTTAGTCAGATTTAGTGCTTACTGTTTAAGAGAAATAAAGATTTTTTTCTAGGACAGAAAAAAACCCAAGTTATCACCTGTGAAACAAAATTCTGCTGCCTTCCTTTCTTACATGTCATAACATACAGGAGGAGTCAAACAAGAAAACTGTCAAAGGTGTCAGAAGGTATCAAACAAGAAAAAGATTTTTGATAAGAACTAATCAGAAATTAAAAAGTTATGCCTTTTGTGCACCTTGCTGCATTTTTCCTTTTAGGTAGGAAAGGTTATACTAGGCAAAGAATATTTAGCTTCTATCAAGTCTATAATCCTTTTTGAAAAATAATAAAATTTTACATTATAAAAATGGGAAACAAACATCTCCTAGGACTAATGTCTGAATTGTCTTAAACTTTCTCCCCCTTTAGTGATCATAAAATATGTATTTATTAGTAGTTTTAAGATGTTAAGAGACCAATTCTCTTACTGCTGAAAGCTAACTGGTAAGAATCAGAAATGATTCACATCATGATTAGTTATTTTTAAACAGTTCTTAAAGAAAAAGAACTTTATTAGTTAACCATTTCTGTACCAGTGCCAAGCCAAAATCTCAGGCGTGTGAGACATCCTTAAACCAACAATGATGTCAGCAAATTAGGAAAGTTGTTAATTTGCTTAACTAAGGCTGGAATCATTGGGAAGCATCTGGCTGACCAAAAGTCTTCTGTGAACTAAAAGACTATTTCTTAAAGAAAATAATATGTAAAACAACTTGTAAACAAAGTGGTGTGACAAAACACGAGTGCTTCTGACTTCTGTCTCCCATGCACCGGACAGCCTTGTGTACACTCTCACCATGAGAGACACCACTCCAGAATGGCAGCTCTCAATCACAGATGTGCTAGGGAAACCTGTGATTGTGAAACTTGCTGATAGACTGCCTGGAAAATCTCCATCCTGTTTTGCTGAGGAAATTTCAGTTAATTTCCGTCCTAAAAATCAAGTTCTCTGCCACTCCAGTACCTACACGTTCCTCACTTCCCGTGTACCTCTTCTGTCAGATGCACATTTCTACCCACTGTTAAAATCAATTCCATGGCTGTGAAGCACCTGGAAAGAGCTGAGCAGGAGAAAAGATGTACTGTAACCTAGCCATGAACTACTAAGAGGGAAGGAAGAAAAACAGGTTCTCAAAGGGATGCATTCTTGGTTTCACGCTATAGGTTAGAAACAAACCAAGTAACATCTCCACAAACCCATATCCTGGGTAAAACATGTAATTATCTGTCTCTGTGTGTTTTGGCCATCTTAACATCTCGGTTAGGGCTGATCCCAAAGCCAGCTGACAGGATCCTGGAGTAAGCAAGCAGAAGTTACTACTTTTGGCTGAATGGTTTGCTTTAAAATTTAACTTCTAAAGTTGCAAAGTTTTACAATTTTACTGATGCAATGTTTGCATTATACGGCAAGTGTAATTGAACAAATACTTTCCATAATAAAGAATGATTAACATCATTAGAGTTTATGTACTGGGATAGATTACACCTGATCACTGTAGTCAAGATTCTCTTAAACAAGAATTCCTCATCACTTGTAAATGTGTTTGTGCACACAGGTATTTATTGCAAACCAAAATATAAACTGTGTTAAAGCTCTCATTAGGAAAAAGTAAACAGTCCCCCTTCTAATCACTCAAACTTTCATCTTTTTAAAAGATTAGACTCATATTGGCCACCTCCATGTTAAATAACTTTGAAACACTTTAAATAGCCTTCATATCCATAATTACTGATCTCTGAAAATAGATTTGCAAACAGGAAAAGGAATCAACTGACTAGAAAATTATTCACAAAGCACAAGCAGAGTTTGTTTTGTTATTTTGTTGGTTTTTTTTTTTAATAAAGGCAAATTAAGCAATTAAGGCTCTAATACAAACAATTATTGATTTCTAAAAATTTTTTCTACAGAACCATTTTTTACCCTCCACAGCCATTATTTCTGTAGCTTCAGGGGAAGATTATACCAGTCCAGTCTAAAATGGCCACCTTGGACAGGAATGCAGAGATTTCAAAAATCTTACAGGCTTTTAATCAAAGTGTATAAAATTTTAGTCTAGAAAAATAAGTATGGATTGTATACAGTTACTGTGCTTGGAGACTGGAGAGAACAGTGTGCCATTCAAATAGCACAGGCATACTGAAAAATGCAGATGAGAGTATTCTTCAAAACTGTTGGTGTGGGTATTATTTCTTGCTTTTTTTTCCTCACACTTTTAGCCTAAAGAGGTGCAAAAAGTATTGTTAGGTGAGAATCTAGTTGCTGGCAAGGGACTGATGAATTGGTGGCTGGAAGCAGCGCACATGTTCCACGGGTGTGCTCTCTCCATCACCAGACTTCAAATACTTGTCCAAAATAGCAATTATTTCATCATTTAGAATCTGGAACTTGCGAATTCTCTCAACCATTTTCTTCAAAGGCTGCAAACATCAAAAGAACAGACCCAGGAATTAGCTTTGGATATGAAATACCTTAGCCAGAAAACCAGCAAATGCTGTTACCTCATCTCTCCCAGCAATGTTTACAAATGTTTCCCTTGCACTGCTAAACCAGTGGAAATACACGATGCAATTTGGTTTTTGACAGTGCTGTTTTGAGTACAAAGAAGCTCAGTTTACACCTGCCTTGTCATTTTGGGAATGAACATATATAAGATGGAAGGCATTAAGAAAATCTAAAATATTTGTGACATCAGAATTCTGCTTGACCAGTCTTCCAACCCCACCAGCCTTAATCTTTTGTTTCTGAAAATCCTGGTGTCCTCATTTTCAGCATTCATTCTAAAAAAGGATTGCCACATCTACGCTGCATCTGAGTAAAAACAGCTCAGAGTTGTTGTCTTAATTACTAAGGTAAATAAATACAGATATTTTTCAACTCACCACATTCTTGATAACTTCATCTTTGCCATCGTGCTTTTGGACTTTCAGCAGGTGGTAGCAGAAATCCAACACGTCAAAGCGCCGCTGCTGTCCCAAAAGCACGATGATCATACATCCAGCCCAGTGCAAGCCATCCCCAAAGCACTGCCTGGAAAACACATCACAGAGCAGGTTTCAACTACATCTTCAAAACACAGTCACAGCAAACACTCAGTAATCAGCCACATCACTAAATAATAAATATGTTAGACATTAATCTAGAAAGCAAAAGCTCTGGTATATTAATTATCATTGGAGATATCACAAACAATTAAAATAGATACTTAACAAAAAAAAAAAAAAACCCAAAAAAAAACCAGAACTCCTCCTCCTCCTCCTTGAATTTCACATATCAGAGTTACTCCAAAAACATTTACTCCCCATTAGACTCCTGTGCCATTACATTTCATTTTCAGTGGAAACAACACTTGCAAAGAAAACAAAATGGGAATTCAACACCACTCTGCTTTTTTAGGCTGCAGGCATGAAAGGAAGTAAATGCCCTATGCTCTTTTCTGATTGCTCAGTAAACAGCATGTTACAGCTCAACAGTTTTTCAAAATAAGTATATTCTCAAAACCAACAAAACCAAGAACAAACAACAGGTCCTGGTTAACTTGTGTTAATCATGTTAAATTCCTGATCTTAAATTCAGAGAAAAAATACTTGTTAAAAGTTAGATGCACAAATATTCTGCTATTTTATTTAAGCCGGGTGTCCATAGGGGCATGACCTCTATTGAAAGACACGTGCTAGGGCCTGTTTGTCACAGGATCATTCATTATACACTGGCAATACTTAAAATAGAGGGTTATTTTCACTACAGATAACAATAATATCTGTGTTTGTGGATGATGAGCCCCTCATGGTGATGGCAGCACTTCTCCCTGGTTCTGCACTAAGCTCCTGCAGACAGGCACAGCCCCGCTGCCACAACAAGGACAAGCCAAGCACTGTTGCCACAGGGCACTGCGGGCAGCTGGCAGCACGTACTCCACAGTGAACTCGTGCGTTCCCACGGGGATGCAGTAGACGAACTGCATTGCGCTCCAGAGGCGATGGAATTCCACACACTCATCCACATGCATCACCCCGTTGCTGGGCAGGGGTCCACGCCAGATGGGATCGTCCAGGAAGGAACGGATCCTCGTCAGGATGACCTCAAACATGGACAGCCCGCAGCAGAGACGTTCTTTGGTCAGCAAGTCGCCTTCCCTTGCAATTGCTATTTGCTGGAGAGAAACAAACAGAGAAACAAAGCATAAAATCTGGTAACAGCCACTTCACCACAAAATTTTATTTAAAAAAAAAAATAATGTACATTTTTCAGTTTCACGTGGCTCATTCTAGGAGAAATGTCTTCTGATTTAAAGTGAGGTCAGACACTGCTAACCTGGGGATCAGATGAGTGGAAAAACATTCAGAGAAAATTGTAAAATCCTTCTTAAGCAGATTTAAAGTAAGTAACACTAACTGCAGTAATGCTAGTCCTGGATTTATCTCAGGGAAGTTTAAAGAATTTTTTGTCTGAATGGAGGCAGAAAGCAAAACCAAAGAGTTCAGTGCTCTGCTGTAGTTCCTGCGTGCACTCTCTTGCACACCTCCCTCAGCTACTGCTGTTAGAGATGAGAAAGCTCCAAAGAGGAGCACCAACAGGCTCAGACAAAATCCAAAAGAGGAATGCTGCTTGTGCTTGTCCCAGCTTGTGCCATCACACAGACAGCTCTCTCCTAGCACAGCAGCATCTACTGAACTGCAGCACCTACGATGACAACAGCAGTCTGAACTCTGGGGCATCCTGCTCTTACTTTCTACTATTCACATCTCAACCACTAGTAAACTGCTAAGATTAGCAGGGGATTAATGCACCCTCACACCAGGAGAAAGGAAAACAGTGCTGAACCTGCAAAGGCAGTTCAAAAATGTTCTCTTTGGTCATTGTTTCCAGGAGACCTCAATTCAAATGACAACTCACTTTCTAAGAGTTTCTTAGTTGCTAAGATTGACAAAATGTTTTAAAAACATATATACATGTGCACAAGAAAACCGATTGCTTTTCATTTTGCAGGAATTTGCAGGAGGAGCTCCAGGCTGGACCTTACACTGGAGGGTATCTCATGATAAACGTATCAATTAGCATTTTCCCCCAAATGTCACTTCTGTGTCACTTCTGCCTCGGTTTCGAATGTTTTAAACTTCTAAGCTTTAACAGCTTTTTCCAAATTTATGGATCTAAATAAAAATCATTTGTGTGAACAAGCTGGATGTGCAGGTTGAAGTTCTGACAGAACTATTAGGACAGGCTTTCTGATGCTCAGAAATTTCTTGAATTGCCTCTGACACAAATGAGAAAGATTACCTGGGGTGTGCCAAGTCTTTCAATGAGAGGAACCAAATGTAGTG